CCATCGTGTCCCATCCCGGCCGTGTCCCAGCACTGTCCCCACACCTGAGCCATCCCTGTCCCCATCCCTGTCCCCGTGTCCCGATCCTTGTCCCCCTGTCCCGGTGTCCCCATCCCGGTGTCCCCCTGTCCCGGTGTCCCCGTGTCCCCATCCCCGTGTCCCGGTGTCCCCATCCCGGTGTCCCCATCCCGGTGCCCCCATCCCTGTCCCCGTGTCCCGATCCTTGTCCCCGTGTCCCCATCCCGGTGTCCCCCTGTCCCCGTGTCCCGGTGTCCCGGTGTCCCGGTGTCCCGGTGTCCCCATCTCGGTGTCCCCATGTCCCCCCATCCCCGTGTCCCGGTGTCCCCATGTCCCGGTGTCCCGGTGTCCCCATCTCGGTGTCCCCATGTCCCCATCCCGGTGTCCCCCTGTCCCGGTGTCCCGGTGTCCCCATCCCGGTGTCCCCATGTCCCGGTGTCCCGGTGTCCCCATCTCGGTGTCCCCATGTCCCCATCCCGGTGTCCCCCTGTCCCGGTGTCCCCATCCCGGTGTCCCCCTGTCCCCATCCCTGTCCCCGTGTCCCCCTGTCCCCATGTCCCGGTGTCCCCGTCCCGGTGTCCCGGTGTCCCCATCCCCGTGTCCCCCTGTCCCGGTGTCCCCGTCCCGGTGTCCCGGTGTCCCCATCCCCGTGTCCCCCTGTCCCGGTGTCCCCATCCCGGTGTCCCCGTGTCCCCCTGTCCCGGTGTCCCCACTCACCCACTCGGAACCCGGAGCCGGTCAGGGTGTCGGCCGCGTGTCCGTTCTCTCCGATCAGGGTCATGTTGGATCCGGGCTGGCACGAGTCCCGGCACAGCCCCTTCAGACACGTCCTCCGGCAGATCAGGGGGGCGAAGACCACCTTGAACCGCTCCCGGGCCACGGCCGCGCCCCCCCCGCGCCCCCCGAGCGCCGCCAGCGCCGCCAGCGCCGCCCACAGCCCCCCCCAGCGCCACATGGTCCCCCCGAGACCCCCCCAGACACCCCCGGACCCCCGCGGCGGGCGGGGGGCTCCGCTCCGGACGCCGGGGACCCCCTCGAGGGGGGTGGTCCCGGACGCTGGGGGCCCTCGGGGTTGGGGGTGGGGGGGCTCTCAGTGGCCTGCGAGCTTCGGAAGGGTGGCGGACGCCTGGGTCCCCTTTTTGGGGGGTGGTCCCAGGGTCTGTCCCCCCCCTCTCTAGAGGCGCCCCCCCAAGAGTGACGCCCAGCCCGGAGGCCGAGGGTCCCTTTTTGGGTCCCCCCCTCCCCTCCCCTCCCCTCTCCTCGCCGGCCGTGGGGGTCCCCTCGGGGGGGGTTGTCCCAGAGGCCGGAGCGCCCCCCTGGCCGGTGCTGGGGTCCCCCCCAGGGGTGTCCCGGGTTGCGGGGTCCCCTCGGCGGACGCGGGGTCCCCTCGGGGGGTGTCGTGGCCGCGGGGGTGGGGGGATCCCGCCGCGCTCCCGAGACGCCGCGGCCGCCTGGGATGGCGC